AAAAATTCATCTCCCATGTTTGTAGCAAGGAAAAGTTAGATGTTTTTGTGCTTCAATAATACACGGTTCCACTGCTTTTATTTATTTTTTATTTTTATAGACTATAAAGGTCCCTTGTTATTTAGTCTTGAAACTTTGAAACTTACATAGACCTTCTGAACTTGTTGCACCAATGTCATTCTTATTAATTTGGGACATTGACGAATCAAGATACTACTTTTGTTCGCTTTGATGTAATATTTGAATACCCGCTCTTTGTAATGACATGGGATTAATAACTACTTCAATTTCACTCATGTTCATCATTTAGTGTAAAAGCCAATGTATGCTTTCAGTTATGTTTCAAAGAACATAACAAAATATCAAAAGTTTACTTACTCTAATTTAATTGCCCTGTATTAAGATAATTAATTTAGAATTTTTGGTGCAATCGTACATATCATTTGCATGACATCTGCACAACATATGCAACCTTGGGATGGCGTCATTTGACGTCTTGACCGCAAAGGCAATAGTCCCTTAGGTTTGCTGCGCACACATACACAACAAAGCTTTTGCCTGGTAGGGTTTTACACGAGCCTGTAACCTGCAGCCCAACCAGTGGGCATGCAGCCATGTTGGGCCTTGTCCCCACATCATTGGCTCAAACCAGCAAGCTTACTGCTAGCTGGGCTTCACCCACTACACGCTGGCCCACTTCCTCAGGCCTGATGCTTGTTGGGCCTTGCCCCCGCTTCATGGCCGGCCTGTAGCAGCCTTTGTTTTGCTGGGCTCACCTCTCCCCGGCTCAAAACCCGAAGCCAGCTCACGATGGGCTTTATCTCGTACCAACCCACACTAGTGCAAGCTGGGCTTAATTCTCCGCGCCTATTTTTGGCCAAATTCTAGCAACTTTAAGCTGCTGGGCTTATCCAAACCCAACCCAAAGGCCTGCAGGGCCTTGCCCGTGTATTGCAGCTTGCCCAATCAAGCTTGGCTGTGTTGTTTTTTTTTTTCCGACCATATGCCATTTTTTTGTATTCCAACTTCATAACCATACCCATTTAATTTTTGGGATGTTTTAGTTATCACTAATTAAGCTATATAACACTTGTCAGTTGGCCCATTGCCAACCAAAGTTAAAATGACTTGCATGTCATTATTTTTCATCCACGATCGACCCCGTATGGTCCCGATCTAACTAATTAAAAGTGACTAGCAATCCATTAATTTGAACAGAAATCCAAAATTACAGGTCTAAAGATCACTTTTGGACATTAACTATTTAAGAATTTATTTTTCTTCTTTGAACCGTTAACATCCTTTCGTAGTCCTGAAGCTTTGACACTTGAGTTCCTAAAGCAACTTAAATCCACTGCACTTAAATCAATACCTTGTATTATGTGTTCTTGCATGAACCTTTCGTTAATGAACTAAATGTTCATAAACTAAATTGAACATGTAGTTTAAAATTTAGTGCCTTTGAAACTGAAAGTTTTCATTCAAAACTTACACCATGAAACCTGAAACTTTAATGTTTAATTTAAATCTATGCATGTCTATAGAAGCCGAATGTTCTAAACTGTATGTCTATAACTTACCATATAACTAATGCCACGTTTTTTTGTACCCTCTGTTTTAGGGACATGTCGAACTTGAACAAGATTGATTTCACTACTTAGAAGTATCAAGAAGAAACTACCTGAAGTGGGTTCAAGATGTGAAGCTCCATCTAACCACTAAAAGGCTACGAGCCACCATCGTAGAGGCTATGAACGTTCCGGTTGACGAAGCTCAGAAAGCTATTGCCATGATCTTCATCCGAAGACTACACAGAAGGTGATGTGATGTTTTAATGAAGATAAAGCGAAGCCTTCGAGTACTCCTATGGTCGTTTGGACTCTATATGCTCAACGAGATCCCTTCCATCCCAAATAGGATATGGAAGAGATTTTAGAGCCTGAAGTTCCATACCTAAGTGCAATTGGTGCTTTATTATACTTGGCTCAATGCACTAGACCTGACATCTCTTTCGCTATGAATCTTTTCGCAAGATACAACAATGCACCTATAAGTAGACACTGGAATGGAAATCCGTTCCCAGGACAAGCTGGCCAATCTCTTCACGAAGTCATAACACCATTTTGAAGTCAAGCAAATCCGTTCTCAGGACAAGCTGGTCAATCTCTTCACGAAGTCATTGCCCAAGACTACTTTTAAAATCACATCCAAGGAATCGGTATGTGTAAACTTTTTGAATTGGATTGATTATAGTTCTCTTATTTGGAAGTTATGTCTAACTCAAGGGGAGTATCCCGAAGTATACTCACTTGATCTTAATTTACTATTTTTCCTATGATTATGAGCATTTTTTCTACCGGGTTTTTGCTACCTAACGAGGTTTTGATGAGGCACCTATCCTGGGATGATCATACTCCTTTGAGATTTACTACTTTCGTCCCGTATGATGTTTGTTTTAGACATTTTGCATTCTTCTCACTTTTCCCCTAAGTCTATGGGTTTAGGTTTTACCATAGCGAGGTTTTGTGAGTTTTACTACCAATGCATACTTTCTTTAATTTGAGATTTGCATTTTCCCGTTGTGTCGACAACTTCATCAATTGATCTACTTCATGCGTTGTAGATTTGATGCAATGTTTTGTTTGAGTATTTACACACTCAAGGGGGAGTGTTGCAGTCATATTTAATATAAGAATGTGATTGTGTAAATCCTAAATTATTTGGATATCTTTAGCAGATTCTATCATATCACTAGAGTTCATTATTATCCTATTAGAGTTGTAATCTTATTGGGGTAAGGAATTTACCTTCCTTACTACTATAAATAAAAGCACAATGGGGTGGAATAACACACACCTCACAATTAAATCTCTCTCTTCTCTCTTTATGTGTTGTCGCCTCTCTCCCTCTCTATCGTTTATAATTGTTCAATAAAATAGGTCTACAACAAAAAATATTTATTAAATCAATTAAAAATAAATTTGAAGTTGAAAGAAATTCCTTCGTTGCCAATCTAGGTTATGTCACATAAGAATTGACATTTTAGTTGCAAAACACTAATATTTTGTTTTTTGGCTGTTATTGCTATTGTGAACTTTTTTGACATCTCTGTTAGATACGATCTCAAAATTGCGTCAAAATTCATGTAGAACAATGTGATGAAATAGATCGGCCTCCTTTACATGGGGTTACTTGAGTGCGGCTTGGACAACCTATATCTACCTTTTAAGCATGACTTCAATTTGTGTAATAGTGTGCCCATTTACCTCTCAAATTTTGGGTTGCCTACAACTTTTTTATTTGTTAAAATAGATAATTAGTGCTACATTTTATTACAAGTTGAAACTTCGGTTTAAAAAAGTTCAAGCCAGACTAGACCTCTTCTTGGCCAACAAATCTAATCTGTGTTCGACCCTTTCTCATTGAGCTAGGCAATACGTGCATCATAATCACATTATAAACTTTTGTTTTTTTGTGTTACAATAATACCAAGGACCTGCAAATGGAAGGACGGGATAATTAATTTGGAGTAGGATTTACTCTACTTTTAGTTTCTCTCTCCTTTATTCCCTTCCATTTGAACAGTTACGATTAAATCACGTCAACATTTTATGTTAATTTAGAAGAGAATGCTTTGAATTGTGATATATTCTTCTCAATAAGAGGTCTTTAAAGGACCCTAACATAAATGGAAAGAGAACTAATTACAAGTGATTACATGAGAATATACGGGATTACATACCAATTAGGGATCCTACCTAAAATACAAAAGTCAACACTCCCCCTCAAGTTGGTGCATAGATGTCGCTCATGCCCAACTTGTGTAAGAAACTTGAAAACTTTTGACTTGAAACAACTTTTGTGAGGATATCTACCAACTGATCTTCTGTTCTTATCGCCGGTACCTCAATTATTTTCCCTTCCAATTTTTCTTTGATGAAGAACCGGTCAACTTCAACATGCTTTGTTCTATCATGTTGTACCGGAGTATGTGCAATGTCACGGGCAACTTTATTATCACAAAATAATTTCATGGGCTTATCATGTTGTATACCCAAATCGTTTAGCAGAAGCTTAAGCCACAAAACTTCACAAATCCCCAAAGCCATACCTCTGTATTTGGCTTCTGCACTGGATCGGGCAACCACACTCTGTTTCTTACTTCTCCATGTAACCAAGTTACCCCCAACAAACGTAAAGTAACCTGATGTTGAGCACCTATCGTCAATCGAACCTGCCCAGTCTGCATCAGTATAACCTTCAACACTAAGGTGATTATTCCTTTTAAACAAAATCCTTTTTCTCGGACTTCCCTTCAAATATCGCAATATTCTCATCACGGCATTTATATGTTGTTCTCCAGGATTATGCATGTATTGACTCACTACACTTAAGGCATACGCAAGGTCCAGTCTTGTGTGTACCAAATACATCAAACGGCCTACTAACCTTTCGTATCTTCCTTTGTCAACTGGTACTTGATTAGGATCAACACTAAGCTTCAATCCTTCTTCTAATTGTGTAACTACTGGCTGACAAGCTGACATGCCAGTTTCGTGCAATAAATCAATAATATACTTCTTCTGAGACAAGAAAATTCCAGAACTGCTTCTCGATACCTGAATTCCTAAAAAATATTTCAGGGATCCAAGGTCCTTCATTTCAAATTCTGTTGATAGGTATCTTTGCAAGGCCGCACGTTCATCTAGATCATTTCCTGTTACCACTATATCGTCTACACACACAAAGTGCAGTAAGGTTCCCATTCTGTCTTTTTAGAAACAAAGTATGATCAGGATTACTTTGTCTGTAACCAAATGCTCTCGTAGATTTTGTGAATCTTCTAAACCATGCTCGAGGGGACTGCTTCAAGCCATACAATGATTTCTTCAACCTACACACCTTTTTTTGTATTTGTTTGGAGCATTACATCCAGGTGGAAGATCCATATAAATATCTTCTGTTAAATCTCCATGCAAGAAGGCATTCTTCACATCGAACTACTGTAAAGGCCAATCAAGATTTGTAGCCAAGGACAACAAAACACGAATTGTTTTGATCTTAGCCACATGAGCAAATGTATCTGTATAGTCAATTCCATATTTTTGAGTGTATCCTTTTGCTACCAGTCTTGCCTTGAAGTGATCCACTATCTCATTAGCTTTATACTTCATAGTATAAACCCATTTACATCCTATAGGTTTCTTATCAGCTGGCAAGTCTGTGATCTCCCAGGTAGCATTCATCTTCAAAGACTTCAACTTTTCATTCATTGCTGCTTGCCAATGTGGATCAGCTAAAGCTTCCTACACACTGTTAGGAATAGATACAGTAGATAATTGATACACAAATGACTTATTTGATTATGACAGGTGACTGGTAGACACATAATTAGTTAATGGGTATAACACATTGGACTCAGGTTTGGGCTTATTCATTGGATACTTAGTTTTGCATTTAGGGTTGGCTTCATAAGTAGGTTTAGGAATACCTCTGCTTACATGGTCAAGAAGGCGACATGGCGATGGTGCATCCAGGATCGAAGGCGATTGATTATGGTTATTGAGGCTCAAGGGTGGCGAGATCGATTGTGAGGTCGTTGCCGACTCAAGGTTGTCCGCTGGTGAGGAAACTGGCAGTTTGTCAGGTGGAGAGGGAGGTTGTGGGTTATATGGTGCAGTCAACTCGTTACTTTCAAAATTTTCAACATTATTTCCATGTGAATGATCACCACTTGTCTCCAAGACATTACCACTTACTTCCAATTCATTCACATAATTATTTCCATGTGAATGATCACCACTTATTTCCAAGACATCACCACTTACATCCAAAACATTCACATTGTCTGTCTCCAGAATAGTATAATCAAGAGTTTGAACTTCTGTTTGATTCTCCCCCTGAAGTGAAGACTTAGGATTGGCAAAGTACATATTGTTCTCATGAAAAACAACATCCATAGTGACAAACAACTTTTTCGTTGGAGAATGATAACAACGATATCCTTTTTTATTTGAGGCATACCCCATAAACACACATTGTAAGGCCCGAGGTTCAAGCTTACTTCGTTGTTGTTTATGGAGATGAACGAAGGCCACACAACCAAACACATGAGGTGGAAGATTGGGGATAACAGGAGCATCAACGTGTGAAGAGAAAGCCTAAAGTGGTGTTTGAAAATCAATGGATCGAGATGGAACACGATTAATGAGATATGTAGCTGAGGTGAGAGTTTCTCCCTAATAGGATAACGGGAGACGAGGCTTGAGCAAATAAGCACGAACAACCCCAAAAGCTGATGTATTCTGCAACCCCATTTTGTTGTGGAGTATATGGGCATGTGGTTTGATGAACAATGCCATATGATCAAGAAAGGCACGAAGGTCAGAGTTAACATATTCACCGCCATTATTAGTCTTGAGAACCTGTATGTGTGACTTATATTGTACTTGTACCATTTTATAAAATCGCTGAAACAAGGAAGAAACTTCACTTTTGGACTTTATCAAACAGACCCAAGTCATATAAGTGCAATCATCAATAAAAGTAACGAACCAACGAGCACCACTAAACGTAGCAGTTTTAGATGGCCCTAAACATTAGAATAAATGATCATAAATGGAATTGAACTTTTATTCATACTAGACGGAAATGAAGTACGATGACTCTTTGCCATTCCACAAACAACACATTTAAAGCTAGAAATGTCATGCTTAACAAATAAGCTAGGAAACAACCTTCGTAGATAGCCGAAAGAAGCATGTCCAAGTCGACGATGCCACAACCACACCTTTGAAGCTTTATCTTTCTCCTCATGAGATCTTTCCACAGCAAGAGCTTGAGTCAAATTTCGAGAATTGTTGGATGTTAGCTCCAAGTAGTAGAGCTTTCCCTTCCTAATACCATAACCAATCGTCTTGCGAGTTCGAATGTCCTTAAAAACACAAAAGGAAGGCCAAAAAATAACAAGGCACTGTAGGGTGACAGTTATCTGAGCAACATATAATAAATTATAGTCAAGGGAAGGAAGGAACAACAATTACTGAATCAAGATTCAGGGTATTAGAGAGGGAGACATCACCTTCCCAAATAATGGGGACATCATTACCATTGGCAACACTAACTATAGTATGGGTGGATGGTTTTAAAGTTTGTATCTGTCTAGAATCACAAATCATATGTTCAATAGCATCGAAATCAGTTATCCATTTATTATTGGTAACAGATGCAGAAACTTTTAAAGCCTTACCATTGTTGTTTGTATGTTCAGAAGCTACCTTAGCTTTGGCAATCAGTGCACGAGTCTGGTTTGCCATTTTTTTGGATGAGTTTGCTACAATGTGTATGGGTGATTGGTAACGTCCAAACTTCTAACCAAAGGTCCTGTAAAACAATGACCAAAAAACAAACAAATTTCTTTTTTCTTTTTTTCTTTATGTTTCCTTCTTCCTTCTCCATTTTTATCCCTTTAAAAAAAAAACAAGAACCCCCTTTCTCTTTCTTCTTTCAGCAATAGTACACCTTTTTCTACTGTTCTTCAAGATAGCAGTAAGTGGGTCACGGAGTCTGGGCACAAAAATTAGTTTTGTGGTCGAAATCTTGTGGTGCAGATGAAACCGACAGTTGAAAGTCATGGTTCAAGGCAATGGCGATTTGGGTCTGCCCGAAATCTGGGACAAATTTCAGGCAGCGGGTTAAATCTCGGTTCATGGTGGTGGATGCAGGGAGCAGCTTGGTGAACTCAAATCAGCAATGATGGTGTCGCTCGCTGTTCAGACGGCGCGCTGCACAACTGGATGTGCGGCTGGTAGTTCTGGGTTCTCGCGTCAGCAACGACGGTGTCGCTTGCTAGTCGGATGGCGCAACACAACTGGCTGCGTGGCTGGTGATTTTGTTTCTGCGCACAGCACACTGCTTCTCCTTTTTCTCCTCTTACCTAGCTTTGGTGCCAAGAAGAGAATGCTTTGAATTGTGATATATTCTTCTCGATAAGAGGTATTTAAGGTGTACAAGCCTAACATAAATAGAAAAAGAACTAATTACAAGTAATTACACGAGAATATACGGGATTACATATCAATTAGGGATCCTACCTAAAATACAAAAGTCAACAATTTTTTTAATAGTCAGAAGAAGAAAAAAAACAATTTATGAAAAAAGAAGATGGAAGAAGATGAGAATAGGAGGAAAGAAAATTCTACTCCAATTAATTTTACTGATTCCGGTTGATATAAGTCGTAGATTCCAGTTTGCTCAGCTTAATATGACAAACACTTGGTTCAAACTTACTCTTACAATAATGCATGCATATTTCGCACGAAACTCGAAACCAATCATGAAACCATGTATTATTAATTACATGAAAGATAATTTTTATATATTTTAGGTTTAAAAAAAACACAAAAAACCAAAATCAATAATACTTTGAAATACAAAGGACAACACGCCTAAGCAGCAGGCATACATTATAAGAAAGAGCGAGCAAACAAAAAACAAGACATGCAACATACGAAAAAGGGAACAAACAAAACCGCCAACTAATAATTTGACTTTTTAATTTAAAATTAAACTCAAACAGTACCTATTTGGACCTAAATTTACACCATCGGCCCGTGTAATCAAAGCCGTTGAGTAAGCATAGTTCTCAACCATCGGATGGAAAAGTGGGGATAATTTTTTGTTATTGTTAAAGGATAATATTATGGTTTTTATCATAATAACTATTTTTTAATATGAATTATTTTTGCATATTCTTAAATGGGATGGATACGATGCAGATTATATCCCCAAGCAAGCGGTACAGTTCAAATTGATTTAGACGTCTAGCAATGGACGTGCAGACTGAAAAAGCTTGGAGTGGAGATCATCATATGGGATTTGATGATTTTAAAATCATGGTCTTGGATAATGATGGGATAAGGAACCTAGGTAGACTAGGCATTTTTGCATGGTGATGGATGTTGTCAGATGGGTTTAAAAGCTATTGATGGAGTTTTGATGATAAGAAGCCTAGGTGGGCTAGGCTTTTTATGAGATGTGATAAGCCTAACTTTTATTAGGTTTGAAAAGTCAAGGAAAAAATCCCATGGATCAATTTGAAGGATATGCCTTGGTTTCTGATGCAGATCAAGTTCAGTTCTGCGAATTAAAGTTGCAGTCGGACTCTACACAATTATCTAACTGTGCCAAGCAAGTACACCAGTCCTATGAATACAGATGCAATCGCAACGGAAAAAGCCCCTCCAATTCAACACAAAAAATGCCCTGCTCAAACCCTCGCTCTACGCGAAACCTCTCAATAATCTTGATATTTTTAGTTTCTTTTTCGCCAACATATCTTCAGTTTGGATAAATAGCAATGTGAAGGCAACCGGCAAACATCTTCAGTTTGGATAAACAGCACTGTTGCCGTAGAATTAGCATATCGCAAAGCACCTTCAGTTTGGATAAACAGCACTGCGTCAAGGCCGACTGGTTATCTATCTAAGTCTCGGTCGAGAAGGATTTGTGAATCTTTATTGGCAGAGGTCATCTCATTAGCCTTCTCTGCGAGATGAGGTGTTACAGTTTACTAGGGCTCGGCACATTGAACGCCGAGTTGTTTTATGATTGGATACTCACAAGTAGGTTTTAGAGTTCGGCATTCTGACGGTCGAACCATATTTACCATCAAGACATATATCGGTTTTGAGTATCTGTGCCCCTATACTTTGGTGTCGATTTGGCGTGCTTATATTCTTACGAATATAATCACTGTGACTGAATCCGGCACCGACGATTTGTGAGCTTTGCAGAACTAGTAGCCTTGTCTTCAGGCTCTAGAACCCGAAGGCCGAGGCATGTTCTTTCTTCGGCTGCAGTAACGAGATTCAGAAGTTAGTAGCGCACCTAACGTAACATCAACACATTTTACTCCTCGGTCGAGCTTGGTCGACGAGTTGGCACGCCCGCATACAATCGAATGACGTAGTTAGCTCATTAGTTACTCGGCCTGCGCACCACGTATGCTTGGTAGTTTTTAGGGTCAACACTTTGGCACGCCTAGTGGGACCAAGTGCTAAAACTACGAAGTTCACATGATATATCCAGATCACAATCAGGATGAGATTTGGTGCATATTAAAGGAAAGTGTTGAGAAGCAAACAAAACTCCTTGATGAGTACTGTAGAATTCTTGAAAAAGGGCTAGAGGCCGGGGGGAAATTTTTCGCTCTGGCCACAACCAACATTCGACCTAAGAAAATTGTCGAGACGGCCAAAGAAGAACCTAGGCCACTTTTTTTTTCGATCGAGACAGACATTGTGGAAGGCCTAGAAGCAAAAGTTCAAGTTTTTGAGCCATAAATCGATTTAGAAAATGATTCGTCAGAAGGGTGCTCCAATGACGAACAAGGCCAAGACATAGGCCTAGGCGAAAAAACCACGCCAATCGATATGGTTATTGGTGATAAAGTCGATATGGGGAAATCCAGTTCGGCTAAGTTATTCGAGTTAAAAGCTGAAATTGGCAAAATTATTATGCCTGGGGGGCATAATAATTGTTCAACACATTCGGCGGTCGAAAATAAAAAAAAATTCGCAAAGTCAAAAGTATTTGGGGATTATTCTTTATCTGGCCTATCAAATTGAGAATTTTAATATGAAAAGATCTCAACTAGGAATAAAACATCGTTGGGCTCCACCTTCTCAGGATTGGCCACTTTTATTCCCATATATTAGATTTCAGTTTTCTTTTTATATATTCTTATCCATTTGGCTGTTTGAGCTGATGATGCATAAGAAAATAGGAGGGCAACAAGCATCTTGACCTTATAAAAAATATATAGAAAAATGAGTAAGAATTTATTTTCTTAACCATTCGGCTGTTTAGCCGATGCTCAAGGAAATAAAGGGGGGTAACAAGATGGTGTGCTCAGCTTAAAAGGCTGTTTCTTTAGTCAGGCCGAGAAAAGACGGACGTTTGCAGTTAGGCCTTCGTGTAGCCCGATCTTTACTGGACGAGATTGGCTTTGGAGTTGGCCAAATGAAAGAACTACAAAAAGCTGAGGAGATTTGGACGAACACAAAATTGTTTAAAGCTTTAGAGGTCGTGCCATACCCATGTTTGAAATAGAGGTCTCAACCCCATGCTTTGGATGGAGTGACTATTCAAAGGTTGGTGTTTGGGCCCAAAATATTAGTTTGGGCCGAGTATAGAATCATTTTCGGCCCGGAAGGTCTCACGACAAGGGCACCATGGATCGTTTAGTTCGTGGACTTCTGAACCTAGGTCGGTAAAGTCATGCTGCAAGATGGGTCGAATCCTGGCGCAATAAGGAGTCTCGGCGAGATTAATAACTCGGAAGTGAATCCGGCTCGATGAAAGGATAGGTTCAAAATCCTGATGGGAGTAGGAGTACTCGAGATGGTGTTTGATTAGAAGAAGAAGTCCTAATCCGAGTAAGGTTTTAACTTGACCTAGAAGGTATCCGGTGCTATAAATATAGGAGGCTATGCATCGTTCAAGCCCTCCAATTCAACACACAACGCTGCCCTGCACAAACTCTCTCAACAACTTTGAGATTTTTATTTTCTCTTTTCGCTGACACATCTTCCGTTGGCATCAACAATACTGTGCAAGCAACCGGTGATATCTTCAGTCGGCATAGATAACTCTGTCGCCGTAGAATTAGCCGATCTCGCAGCATCTTCTGTTGGCATCAACAGCACTGTGGCGAGGGTGGTTGGTTACCTATCCAAGTCTCGGTCGAGAAGGATTTTCGAATCCTTATTGATCAAGGTCATCTTATTAGCCTTCTCGGCGAAGTGAGGTGTTACAGCTTACTGAGCTTGGCGCATTGCACGCCGAGTTATTTTATAATTGGATACTCTCAAGTGGGATTTAAAGTTCGGCATTCAGACGGCCGAACCACGTTCACTATTAAGACTTATATCCGCTTTAAGTATTTGTGCCCTTACACTTTGGTGTCGATTCGGCGTGAGTTTGCTCTGACGAATACCATTACTGTGACCGAATCCAACGACGATGATTCGTGAACTTCGTAAGAATAGTAGCCTTATCTTCAGGTTCGAGAACTCAAGAGGCTGAGACGTGTTTCTTTATCGGTCGTAATTGCAACACGCAGAAGTCGGCCGCGCAACCAACGCAACATCAACAAATTTACTCATATACCGAGCTCGACCGACGAGTTAGCACGCCCCGCATTCATCGAAGGATGTAGTTAGCTTATAGATTACTTGGCCTACGCGCCATGTAGGCTTGGTAGTTTTTAGGGTCAACATTTTGGCACGCCCAGTGGGACCCGGTGCTAAACTAT